CCCAAAAAAAAAAAAGGACACCAATTGAAGAGGGTGAATGTCACCTATTGACTCTTTGCATATCTTTCGAAAGCTATATTGCAAATTTATAATCTGTATGAAATTGAAGACTATGAAATATAACCCAGACATAGTTCAATATCAAATGGAATATTTATCGTTTGAGCGTGTTCTATAATCAAAAGGAAAATTAAATAATGAAGGTGGCTTTTAATTCATGAAGGGGCTAAAAAGGAAAAATTATTAAAAAAAATAGGTAGCAATAATATATGAATATTTTACGTAAAACTATAGTAAATGTTTAACAGAATGGTATCTTGGTAGTTGACAATAATATATAGGACAGCAAACCACAGGTATGTTATAGGATCAATGATACCTCTAAACAAACATTAAATATAAAGCGGTGAATATATAATGCATGCATTTTCAGCAACTTGAGATTCTGTTCTGGAAAATGAAAAAGGGGTTGGGTTTTCTTGCATTGAAACCTACGAATTATTGCCGTCATTTCTCAGCAAGTTGACTTAATTATGTATTGGGGGAGGTTAACCTTTTTATCAATGAAGTACTAAGGGCCAGAGATACGCAAAGAGCTGACCTGTTCTGGCACTGTCTGAACCACTGCAAGCTAATTAACTTGGGTTTTAAGTAAAGCAAATATACTTGAACTAATTTGAGGATACAGGAATAGGAGTCAACTAATTCTAGAAAGACTAGATAGGTGCCCAATCTTTTCACTACTGAACACCAAGTCTCATCCATACCCTGGCAGAGCACAACCTATGGTGCTCATACCCTGTCCACTAGAGAGCAATCTACTCTGAATGCTCTACTAAGGAGTAGTAAGATCAAGGTGGCTATGTTCTCTTTCGAACCTACAAATATCCCTGGTCCTGATGGTCTCCACCCCCTCTTCTACCAAAGATACTGGAATATCCTAGAGAACAAGATCACCCATTTCTATAATCAGACTTTCCATACCCTAGAAATGAAGCTTGAAGTAAACACAACCTATTTTGTCTGATCCCTAAGTGTGCTAATGCCACAATCCTTAAGAATTTCAGACCTATTGGGCTATGCAACACTATATACAAACTGATTACCAAAATAATTGTCAACAGAATCAAGCATGTCCTCCCTACCATCATTAGCCCAAGTCAGGTCAGTTTCTTGTCCAGTAGGAGGGCCAGTCATAATGTCATTATTGTGCAGGAATACATCAGTTATTTCACTAAGATGAAAGAGAAAAATACTAACATGATCCTCAAAATTCACTTAGAAAAGCCTTTTGACAGGTTAGAATGGTCCTTTATTAGAGACATTGATGTCCTTTGGTTTCCCCCACAATATGACCAAATTAATCATGTCTTGCATCTCTACAAGCTCTATCTTTGTCCTAGTGAATGGGGGTAGGACTGAATTCTTTCATCCTAATAGGGGTATCAGACAATGGGTTCCTATGTCCCCTTACATTTTCATTATGTGGATGGAAAGACTTTTTAGGAGCATTGAGGCCCAAGTGCACAATGGTAGCTGGTTCCGTATATAAATTAGCCACAATGGGCCAAAAATCTCCCACCTATTCTTTGTTGATAACCTAACCCTGTTTGCTAGGGCAAACACCAAAAACTGTGTCACCATCATAGACACACTACATTATTTCAACTATCAATCTGGCTAATGGGTCAATACCCTAAAGTCCAAAGTTGTCTTCTTCACAAACTGCCAACATGTTATAATATATAGCTTAGTTAGGACATTGGACATTAAGGCTAGCACTTCTTTTGGTAAATATTTAGGTTTTTCAATCTTTCATAAGAGGTCAATTGATAGGGACTTCCAGTGCATCATTAATAGTATGTAAGCTAAACTAGCTGGCTGGAAAATTAACTTTATGAACATGGCTGGGAGAACTACCTTATCCAAGTCCTTTTTGGGATATATCTCTAGTCATGTTATACAGTACATTAAGTTACCTGCCTAGGAGTGCAACCAAACTGATAGGATTCAAAGAAATTTCATCTGGGGTATTACTGCCGTTAAGAAGAAAATGCACCTAATCAAGTGGGACATCATTACAAAGCCTAGAGATGCATGGGGCCTTGGTGTGCATAAAGCTAGCCTTAGGAACACTGCCAGCGAGGATGTATAACAACCTTAATGCCCTTTTGGGCCAGGGTGTTATTTCACGAGCACTGCACTAGCAATCTCCACAACATGCACATTGCCTCTAGAACTTGGACTAGCATTAGGAATGGGTGAAAAGTGTGTAGGAAAGCTAATAGATGGATAGTGCATAAGGGGGATAGAATCAACCTATATAATGACAGATGGATTCAAAACTTAGAACCTCTTAGAGCCTTGGTTAGTGACCCCTGTTGACGGTCAATTTTGACCCTCTCTTTTAAAATTAATTTACTTATACTTAACAATTTACAATAAATATTTTGAAAGTATTTTCTATCAATAAATACCTATTTCTACAAATTAATTAAGTATTAGTTTTGAAATTAATCACCTAGTATCAGTATTATGTAATTACAAATATACTTATCATTTTTAGATTATTAAAATAAAATACACCACGTAGATTTTATAATTATTTTAGCGAATCATTTCTCAATTTCAGTTAAATAGGTCATTATATTAGTAATTTGAGGTTAGTGTCATAATTTGGAAGATAAAGTATTTTACAAATAATTACAATAATTAATAGTATATTTGATAATTATAATTTTATTATATTTTATTAGAAATTAATTAAGTTTATTTAAATCAATTTTAAAAGGGGTTAGAAGACCAAAAGTCTACAATTACAAATCTCCAATAAGACACAAATTGGCTATTTTTGAAATACAAATTAGCCCAACACATAGGCCCAATCGCCAGCTGACCCAGTCCAAAAATTCCTTCATTCCAAGTTGGCAATCTTTGCCACTCCATGAAAACCAATCAGAGCATTCCATGTCACTCATCTCTATCACTCAAAAAAGAAACACAATCAATTTGGGTCGTCCATCCTACAAATCAATGGACCTCGTTTTATCTCTGTTTCTCCTTTAATTTTAAACATCCTATTCGATTTGATCTCAGTCGTTGAAAATAGAAGATCTAACGGCTCTTATATTTTTATTTTTAAATCTTTTAAAACCTTTAAGTGACCGAATTATCAGGGTCATTGATTATCAGATCCAACGGCCTAGATCTCGTCTCTCACTCTTAAATCAGAGACGGCCAAACCTCACTCCCTAACCCTAATTCATTTTCCCCAAACAGCCGCCCTTTATTTCCCCTTTTATTTTCTCCTCTCTCAAGTCATCCATGAACATCAATCAATAAACCTTGCACAAATCAGTGCAAGGTCGTAAAATCACTGATCAAATCGTCCTTCCTTACTTCCTCATCCACAAATCCCGTTGACTTTCTTTTTTGTTCTTCGAATCTGAAACACCAAAATATGGACAGTAAAATTGAAGTACCATTTTCGTTTTGTTCTCAAATCCAACTGGCAAAATCAATTTACCTCGTCCCTAGGCTATGAAGTTTGAGGTTTTATTTCGTTTTTTCTTACCAATTAGGTTTTGAATTCCTAATTCGAAACCCTAGACTAATCGGTGCAAGGTCAAATCCTCAGGATTCTTTGTGCTTTGTCAAAATTGGTGGCATGCATGGCCATTTTACATTATCATTATCATTATTCTTGGTCCAGAGGTCAATCACAAAGACCTATAGACATTGGGCCTTTATCCTGTGGATTTTGTTCTCAACGGGCAATCTTTCTCTCTCAGGTAAAAGCTTCATCATTTCTCTCTCTGTCTCCTAAGAGTTTCCCCAATCTTGCTCACATCGTCTAACATCTGTCATCTTCCATTATCTTAGTTTGAATCTGAAACCCTAAGCCATTAAATGACACTAAAATAGAGCCTTAATTGCTCTCACCTACAATCACCAACCAGGCCTATCTAGCCTACATAAATCAAAAAATCTTATAGGAATTAACGATTTAGAAGCCTAGTCTTTTTTTTCTAATTAATTCTATTCTCTCTTATTTCCGAGTTCTTTTCCAGCTCAAGAGTTTGAGACTTTGGTCCTCAGACGGCTGAGCTAAAATCTTGTTTGGTTTGCTGCTCAATAGGAGGTCAGTATACCTCCACCCTCTCTTTAATTATTTCGTTTAAAATCCCAAACATGTTATTATTCTCTTGGTTAACTATTTAGTCTATCGT